ACCAATACCCGACTGGACAGAAGACCACATGGGCACAGGCGATGCCGAGTGAGCCAGTGGAAATGGGATCGACCATGGAACCACCAATACCCGACTGGACAGAAGACCACATGGGCACAGGCATGCCGAGTGAGCCAGTGGAAATGGGATCGACCATGGAACCACCAATACCCGACTGGACAGAAGACCACATGGGCACAGGCATGCCGAGTGAGCCAGTGGAAATGGGATCGACCATGGAACAACCCTTGCCTGAAACTACGGTTGTTCATGTGACTCAGAGCACGTCTGTTGTAAATGATGAAGTGGATGCATTACCAAAACCAGCATCGACACATAAACCATCCTCGGGCAATGGTCCTGTAACTTCTCAGAAAACGACATCAACAATGTCCATTCTCTCACCCTCCATCTCCCTATCCGCTGTCTTCATTTTGCTGCTAACCTTGAAGTGATTTCCCTCCCTTTCCTTTTGCTAGCTATTTGGACTCTTATTAAGTTTCCTCATTTTTGTCTTACTACTTTCCGTCCGCTATCACTGCAACACTGCTTATTATCCATTGCTTAATACTTTGTTTTATTATAAAGTAATTTTATATTCAATCGCCTTCTATACTTCGCCTCCCTTGAAGACTGTTTTAGCAATAAAGAGGTATATTTCATCCATTCGTTTGCGTTTTTGATGGTATTGTCACCTTATGATTTGTGGACGGCGTGAGAACTCAGTCTTTTATCCTCAAACCTCTTATACTTATTCGGCACTGATTCATTAACTCTTTTATTTTACTGTGCTTACTGTTCTTGTCTTACACCGTACAATGTAATACGGAATACTGCCACTAGATGCTGCTGCCCTTCGCCTTCAAGCTATCTCCAAAGGCGGAGGCGAAGGTGCAGGTGATATTGAAGTCTGAGGGCATAATTGGACATTGTGCTGGAGAACAATGGCTCATCATATGAGCATAGAATGGATGAGCGCTTCTTGACATACACATGATCTTCCGAACAGGCTGCCAAAACCATGGAGGAGACCATTGAGATTAAGGTGACGGCGCGCTTGGCCGTTCAAATGCCATACGTACAGGAGGTGTGCTGTTACCCCACAATTACACCAGAAAATATTGAACAGCATTTTGTGTGGCAAGACATCAAATCTACTTGTAAATTTGCCTTGTTGGGTCGATGAAAGGGAGGAACGGAGAAAAATTACCTTAATTCTTCAATTTTTGGGATTATTCTAATAAGCTCCGAGGCCAAATGAAATGATTGCTACTTAAATGGATACAGTTGTTCAGTAGTATCTACCTCACCATTAAGGTGCGCAGCATTTACTTGAACTGAACTTTATCACGTAAAATAAGTTTTTTATTATCTGATACCTATAAACTGAGCGGACAGCAATAATTTCGTGGGTTCACACTGCATCTACACTTTTGGTTAGAAGGTGTGATCACACTTTTACACAATTTTTCGATATCTGAAACCGTCCAAGTATTACATGAAATCGCCGACGTGAAGTGAGCCGCCTAAAGAGTGAGTATTCTTTTTCAAGTAGGGAGCACTTGACGAGGTGACGCAGATTTTGCTACTCTTCAAATGTTTTACGGGTTGGATTTTAATTCTCCAGTACCAGGTGCATTTATATCCACACAGTGAGTATCCTTTAGCCGTAAATTCAAGTGTTTCGCATAGAGGATTATTGAAGAGAAAGGCGTGTGAATATCAGATTTGCGAAAAAGCTTAAATATGACTTTCAGATGCAGCTTTCACATTTCACCATGACCATCCAAGACTGCTGACCATATTGTCATCTCTACCCTTACTATGATCCACCGGTCTTATCAGAATGGGGAACACTCCTGGCAGTGGAGCGCCATCTACAACACCACAAGTTCATGGGTATAGTTTAAGCAAAGAAGGGGAGAAGTAGATAGAACTCGATTACAAATCTATGCCCATTCACCCATTCATCCATTCCGTATCCATCCATTTATCAGGGACACCTTCAATTGTGCCCTTCAATTGTTTTTGGTTAGAAGATGTATTAATCGACTGGAATGTGTTTGTTAGCCCATTATCTCAACAAACTGTGAGAGGTATATATCTTTCTACTATCGGCACTTTTCAAGCGGTATATTCAAATGACGTGTCACCTTGGCCGTGGAATACCAGTGCAGAATGCAGGGGTTGAAGTGAGGTCTAAATGTTTCAGCCATAGTTACCAGGTCCCAGCATTAATACCGGGGGTGCCCGCAACTCCAAAAATCCTTCTTATTTTAGCGTTCCAGAAATTTCTGCTCGAGGGCTTAATTGACGGGAATGCTTCAACCTTCCGCGGTTTCCACCTTCTTTCAATTGACATCATTAACCAACACGAGATAAGGACACTATGTGTGTCATTAAGCACCCCGAGGTCAAGGCCATTTGAACTGGTATGAATGGTAGGTGTGTGTTTATACAACCTCCATTAAGCAGATTTCAACTGACTGAGATGCCAGCCGCTTTGAAGCACAAAAACCGTCAAATTCACACCGTCACAACAGAGCTATAATGCATTCCACAGTTAAGCATATATAAGTTTTTGAGTGGAATTTTTTTTTACTGGAGCGTTTGTGTTCCTTACGGATAAAGCAAACTGCTTGTGAACTGTGAAGTTGGTGATATGATTATCTTGTGTAAAGGTAGCTGAGTCTGAGCAATAATTGTAGTAGTTGGCGCTGCTACTTAATAATTTCAGTAGTAGGTCTAAAGCAACCCAACACATGTTGTGGGGTGTAAGGTGATAATTCATCGCTTAGACGACAAAGATTTGCTATGATTTTCACTTGTACGAAGTTCTTTTTGTCCGTAAAGAGCATACAAGCTAGCCTTAGTCATTTCTGTTACCTCTGACTGAGTTTGACCTTCTTTCCATTGACTAGTCTTGGCTGTGTATAAGTACTCTGGTAGCGCCTAATAAAAATTCTGTAGATGCTATGATAATTTTACACGAAGTTTTTACAACTTTTAAATTTAGGATAATTTTGTAGAGCTGACAAGCTTGAATTATCTCCGTCAGAATTCAACAAAAATGAAGGCTCCAAGTCACCAGGTAATAGTGGAATGTGTGGCAAGAAGGCAGACAGTGGAGCTCTACAAGTTCCAACAACGCAAAAATTGTTGTTCCGGCGACACATCTAAAAGTGGTGTAATGAATGCTTTTGATTTCTCCCAATTAACCACACAACTGTAGTCGGGAAGTCACTAAAACCCAGAAGGTGCTCCTGTTTCAATTCCCCAGAAGCCACCTATTTCGTGCATAATTCCCTGTAACACTTTACTTGTTCACTTAACTCTATGTTTTGGTTACCCGGTTTTTAAGGTTCCGCCATTGTGATTCAATTGAGTGACGTGCTCTTGAACCACGTTAGGAGTCCCTCAACACTTCTTTAAGTCGAGAATAATCTTTTTGGCTCCTTTCGACTTCAGAAAAGGCACAGGGGGCTACTTTGCTGACACCGAAAAGCAAACTAACCCTCAGGAAACAACTCTCATAATTTCCATTACTGATTACAGAATCTTTACCTGACGGAAGAAGAGCAAAGGCTGCGGATGAGAGAATCTATGACGATCTATAACAAAAGAAATGCAAATGGCGTCTACTTTCGAAAACAACTCTAGTCCAGTGTCCTGCGGAATTGCTGTTAGTTGTCAAAGCAACACTAACCATGAACCAGTTGGAAAAGTTGCTTCGAAGCTGTCTGCATTGCCTGTCTGTGGATGTCGATTATGTGAACTCGCGACACCTTCTCTACCTCTCTACTTAGCTGAAATGAACCCAAACAGATATGGATGGACATCACTGAAGTGGGAACAAAGTAGAAGGGAGGATTTGAGGCGTCCTTTATTATATGGCTCTGCTTTTCGACCAGTGTCCTCACGGCTAGTAATGGACGCATATTTTCCCTTTCACCAACACAGTTTCCACACAGGACGAAGCCCTAGATCCAGTAGAACTGTTAAAAGGAAACGGTGACGTTGTGGTCAGATATCTTTTCACTTGCACGGTGATTTAATGGCTGGCGCGGTCGGCTCTTAAAGCACTGACCACGTTGCGATGACCGACACAGGAGGTTGACTGAGGAGGGCGTCCGGGGATGACACTAAAAGAGGTGGGGAAGGCATGTATTACTTTGATTATTTGTTTAACTCAATGCTTTGATTTCGTGACCACTTGAGGCTCAGCCATTGAACTTCCGCTGGATGTTACGGCCTCTTGACCATGCCAGCAGCACCTCAGCCCTTCTGTGTGTCAGCTATATACTTTCTGTCCCAGTATTATTTCTTCTTTTGACTTTAGTAAAGACTCAAATCACTTTCTCCCAATCTCATAAAACGTTTTGAAACTCGCGCTCTCGTTTACATTGCCTGATTGACCAGAGTCAAGTGCCGGTAGGCTTTAAATAGGCTGACAATCACTACAAGGTCAAGGTCATGCAAGAACAGCAGAAAAGTGTGACAAACATAATATTTATACAAAATAATGCACTAGCTTGCCATAGCCTGACATCTTAAAGACCAACAGCCGCAGACTCGTCTGCGCGCTCGGTATTGGGTCCATCTGGTGTGTGAGAATCAAAGTGGGCCATTGCATTTATGCTTACTCCCGGAATGGACATCACAATTCGTTTGCAGTTATTCCTCATTGCGGTCGCCCTTGAAACGTTATTGGGCTCCACAGTTCGTCTTCGCTGTGGCAAGTTTTTATTGAATGCAGAGGGGAAAAGGGCTGTAGCTGATGGAATGAGTAAGGACATTGTTGAGGCAGTGCCATCACCCGCTTGTTTAGAGGTCATTCCAGGTGGTAAATTTTCGGGCAATTTTGTCACCGAGGGAAGATTAAATCGGACATTTGCCATGCTTCTCCAAATTGGTTTTGACAATTGCTTCTCTCGAACCACGGGGCTAAGTAGAATTTGTTCCGATTCGAAGGCGGCATTTATTGGCAATTGCTCCTCCGTATAGGCAAACAAATTCGCAGCGGTTTGAGACTCCCGTGGAGTGACATCAATGGCATCGAGACACTGGAGTTGTGGCAAATGATGACACACAAGCAGCCTGTAGGATGGTGACTTTGAAAGGGGATTCTTGTGGAGCCCAAGGTGAGTGAGGCTCTTGAGTGGTGCAAAACTCTCCAATGTGTTCACGAGGTGTTCCAGCTTATTTTCACCAAGGTAAAGATGACACAATTCCTCCAAGTGTTCCATTGATGGAATTTCACGCAGACGGTTGCCTTCCAAATGAAGCTCCACCAATCGACTTAGACCGATGAATTCTGCAGCCAGAAGTTTCCTAAATTTATTGCGATCGAGCACTAGATGACGCAAATTGTCCATTTCTACCAGACCACTTAGTGTGGATATGGCGTTATCCTGGAGGAAGAGGGTACGCAGAGCTGGAAATCTATTGAGATGAAGGGGAACGAGAGAGGTTATATCATTCTGCGCTAGCGATAAGACAGCTAATTTGGGCAGATATGTAACTTTCGTATCACGACCGGAGATACCGCTACAAAGGGTTGAAATTTTGTTTCCAGGAAGCCAGAGAACCTCAAGATTTTCCAGTTGAAGTAAACCTTCGAATGAAGTGAGTCGGTTATTCTGCAGATTGAGAGTGTGGAGATTAAAGAAAGCCTCTGATGGTGCTAATTCAACAGAACGTATACCACCATCCTCGCAGTTGTAATGAGTCACTCGGCCTGGTGACTCCAACCCCAGAGAAGCCAAAAGATAGTCTGTAGATAGACGACCGTCCAAAGCTTCTCTAGCCTCATTTACTTCGCTAATATTCACCTCCACACCGTCAAGAAAAGCAAGATGAGGTAGATGGTAGACGGTTCGTAGACGATACCTCGAGAGTTGTGTTTTTAAGGGATTAAAACGTAGGTCGACAACCCTCAAATCAGGTAGGTCACTCAGTGCTAGTACTGATTGATAATTGGTTATCCTGTTACTTGAAATAAAGAGTTGTTTCAAAGACAAACAATCTGTCAGAGGCGTTAGATTAACTATTTCATTGTTATCCAAAGCTAAGACCTGCAAATTTGTCATGTTATTGAAACTGCAGTTGGCAATCGAGGAGATTAAGTTATTGGCCGCAAGGAGAGTTCGTAGTTTGGGAAAGTGTTGGAGGTCATTAAGAGATGTGAGGCTGTTACCTTCCACAGACAGTTCTTGCAGGTGATCCAAGAAGCACAGAGAGCCCAATTCCATCAAGTTTACATTGTTCAAGGTAAGTGCCGTCAAACTTCCTAATGTGGTCTTGGAGAATGTGAAAGGATGAGTCGAAAGGCGGGTGGATTGCATAAAAAAATCGAGATTTGGAACTTGACCAGAGAGCTTTCGTAAAAGCATGCCCAGAACAGGCCAAAGAGTGAGCATATAGTTCCTTGAAGTGGTAAAGATGTGGGTCCTCCGAAAAACTTCCACATCATAAGACTGATTCTCAAAGCAAACCTTCGAAGTCGGTGACAAGGAAGATAGGAGAGATTGTGCACGTTCGGATACTCGTTCATCTCTGAACCACGGATTATACTCCAGTCGAAGTGTAGCAAGGTTTCCTGCAACCCATAAAAGATGTCTCACTTCCACTTCCAAGTTGCTGAGTAAATTCCAATTCGCATCGAGGGTAAGAAGAGATGGACAACTGCCCAAACTCTTCAATGAGTGCAGAGCATTGTGGCTGATGTCAAGTGTCTCCAAGAAAGGCAAGCTCAACTCCTTCAGACTCGTTATTCCACAGTTGGAAAGTATTAAAGTTCTCAAGATGGGGAGTTCTTGAAGACCTCTAAATGATTGAAAACCTGTACCATGAAAATTAAGCTCTGTTATCGCCTCCAAAGTTTGTCCAGAGATAGAACCGAACCAGGGATTACGCAACGCATTCTTCACATCCTTCTCAGATAAATCTGGAGGCGAGGGAATATCAGGTTTGGCTTTTAAGACCTCACTATCCCGATTTATTCCATGCGAGCTTAAGCTTTCAATAGAATCCGTTATTGTCGACGCACGACTACTATCCCTATTCATAAATGCCGACATTTGAGATAATGAGGAGGTTGAAATGAGCTCCAATTCAGCAAGGAATTCAGGGATTAAGCAGGCAGTCTCACTGAACGCATATTCAAAGTGGGCAATGGCGCAAGCACAAAAGCTCTTTTTTCCATTTGTAAAAGTGGCGTTTTTTGGAGATAGGATGATTCCAGTACGAACACAGTTACTTCCTTCTTTTGTGAGAGCTCGAACCACTAAGATGACGAACGAGGAGTTAAAAGCCTTTTCAATTGGAAAAGAATCAAGTTTTAATAGCCTGCTCAAAAGTGTGGTGAAACTAAAACTTCCAACAATGCCATCACTAGGAAATCCGGAGCGCAAAAATTCGCCCAAGTGACAGAAATCAATGTCAGAGGAGAAGAGGCAATTGTAAAAAAGAAGCTCCTCTTTAAAATTTCCATTAGTCTGGTTTTTTTGGCAATAATTGTTTAAAAGATCATTTCGGATATGCCACAGATTGTTCAAACGTAGTTCGGAAAAACCCTCCAAGCATCGATCATGCCAGCACATTCTCATTTGACAGAAACGTCTACATAGGTTGAAAAGTTCGGCAGAACGATCAATCTGACTGATTGTGAGGCAGCCGAACATTTGAAGCTCAGCGGTGTGAAGACACTGGTTTATTTTAAACTTAACTGATAACGCCGATGTGTAGTACTCATATTCGGCTTCTAAGATACTCAATTTGTTCTTCCACCAACAACTTCGAACTCTAATTTTGCCCAAAGATTGGTGGAGTGCTTTGATCTCCTTTGAAGTGCTTTCTCGTAAATTTATCAGTCGGTTAACGTAGGCTTCTAGCAATCTGATTTGAAGATCTAAAAGTCGAAGACGCTCAATGATGGGTATTGAAAGGCGTTTCTTCAAGATCAGGAGAGTTCGTTGCGTTCTAAGGAGAAAATTATGTCGATGACGGGATTTTGCAAAGTAAAATAACTTTTTCTCACGGATGAGAGATTGCAGAAAACTAACAAATGGCTCCCTCAAGTCCATTCCATCGATACTACAGAGTTGGGGTATGTGGTACACTAGAGCCAAAGAAGTATAAGGCAATGAGGAAATTGGATTTGGAGTAAATTCGGCATCATTAATTCTCAATAACCGCAATTTCGGCAATAGAGCAAGAGAAAGCACATCTGGCAGATCATAAAAGTTGTTTCCTGAGAGATTGATGGACTCCAATTTTGTACAAGGAATGAGAGAGGCATCCAAACGACTGATTTGGTTCCCAGCCACGTTGAGATCGCACAATCCTTGCAGGTTTTGCAAACCTGTCAGAAATGATATGTCATTGTTGTTCAACCAAAGTCGACAAAGTGAATTCATTCCCTCCAGTTCTTCTATAACCTTTAGTCTGTTGTCATACAAGCACAACTCTTCCAGTCTGGTAGCACAGTTGAGACCTTTCATCGATTCTAATCCACTTTCGCAAATCCATAGTTTTGTTAGTTTGGTGCAATCTTTGATAAAAAGCAGATTTGGAACCTTTTGACCCACTATAACCAACTCCTTCAGGTTATCAAACGTCCTAAGCAATTTATTTGAAGGCAAACTTGTAAAAAATAGTGCAGTTTTTCCACAAGATCATCCGGATTTTCTTCATTTTCTGGGATGTTATTAAGTCGTCGAATTTCCTTTATTACATCGTCACTAAAAGAATCCATTTTGTATTCAGGTGAACCTATAAGTTAGAAATTGATAAACGTAAAAACATAGGACCATCCCACCCACTTTCAACAAAGCATTAAATGGAATTATTACCACATATGCTCCAGTAGCGCGTGGTTTCTCAAACTCTACTGAAACAGATAAAGATCTACCTAAGGCTGTCCTAATTTCCACAAATAGATGCCAAAACACCTCTCCGTCTACCTTATAAAATGAAACGTCTTTTCACTCACATTTCGATGTACAGTTTAAGAAAACTTTTTCCCAATGAAAGCGTTTAAATATTGCCTTCGGTGAAGTTGCAAGACTTCCAGAACTTATTTGAGATACAGTACTCTGCCTAGGCTTTTGAAGACGAAGCTTTATCTTCATTAACCGACTTAGAGTTTAAAAAATAGTGGGAGCATAGTCTTGCAGATTTTTGTATTGTCCTATATCCTTTGGCCAATCACATCGCGCCCTTCATAACGTGGATTGTTGATAGTTGATTGAGAGACACTCTCAGTTTAGAAGCTCAATAAGTCTAAAGGCAAATTTAAACAAATCACAGCGTAAAATACTTATTCTGCTTCCAGAATCCTCAAACCTCCAACTTTGAATTTTTATTATTACTATGTATTGGGTTTTATTATCTTTTTTGCTGTTAACTATTAAGGTAAGTAAAAAAGATGAGAAAATCCATCTTAAAAGCCTTATTATAGTATTTATTACAATGGAAGCATTTAAGAGCCTTATTCTTGGTATTACTAATGAGTACCGCATAGGAATGAAACGTCAAAATTACTCTTGATAAACATGCCGCTATGTTCCCATTTACAACTAGCTTTAATTTTTGGACTATTACTAATTGGACGACTTATCTCATAATGAATGCAACTAAATGCAACCAAAGTGTTTTTTTCTAACGCGTTGGCTTTATCTGGACATATAATTGCTGTTTTTAAAAGCTTTATGAATGCAACTAAGGCGTCAGTTTAGACTAAAATTGACGAAAATTCGGCCCTTTGAGTTTTTCTTGTCGTCGGAAGAAATCATGGGATCATAGCGGAAGATATATTACAGAAGAGCCGAGGCTACTGGCACGGCCCGGAACCATGCCACTATTTGGAATTACCATGGTGGGAGCATAATTGTAGCTCAAATGAAACGCAGAGGTAAACGAACAATCTAAGTTTTTTGCTTATTACTTTCGTTAGCCAGGGAGAACGTTTAAATGTATTGATAGATTTTATGTAGGAGGGTTTCATGGATAATAGCATGTTAGATTTGCACATTATGGAAAAACAGCATATCCTTTAGCGGAGACGATGATTGACTCCCAGAATTTGGACAGTTACTGCAGATATATATTACGCTGTGCCAGAGAATGCATTTTGCTAAATGGATATCCCGAACAAACAGGTAGAGCATTAAGCTAAACACTAATAGCTATCAAAACACAAGTTAGCTATTTTCTATAGATGAACCCTGGATCATGCTAGAAAACTGCCTGTCACAAATCACCCAACCTGTCATATTTTTTTTGCGTTTATTAGACCTAAACGGACCCAATGAACGGTAAGGCTACTCAAATTAGGCATTACTGAGCCCCTCTTCCTCTTCACAAATAAAAAATGCTTTTCTTTCAATCCACATTCATATCCTAAAAAAATTGCTCATGCATAAATGCTTTATTTGATCAAACTCTGCAATTCGCTTTTTTCGAAATAAACAAATAAATAAATTATTTAGTAACTTTATTTATGGGCGGCAAAAGCAGTTTTGACTGCATTTCTGCTTGAAGCATATTAAATTTCGCCATTTTTCACCAAATATTTTAAACGTTCAGGTACATGCAGAGTGTATTTTAAACAAATCTTCTCTATCCCGTAACCCGAAACAGTAGGTGGAGGAGGAAAACTAGGTAACAACAGAATGACAAAAACTGGACCATCATTACCTCCAAGTGTGCTGCTTAATAGGCCCGCCAACTCGTAAAAAAGGTGAGCTCTTAAAAGGAGCTCTAAAGATCCATTATTATTGAGGTAAAGATCCAGTCATCAATAGTATTTATCCCATATTAAATTACAGGTTAATCTCCCATCTTGGCAATGTAATTAAATCCTCTTGATTGGAGAATATTCCACGAAGTTACTTAAAATACCGGTTGGAATATTTCTTGTTTATTGGATCACAAAATGGATTTTTTTTTGTGAATTGTGGTTAATTTGTTGCAAGAGGCAGATGACTTTATATCTGAAGGTGATTTTTCATCCCCACCCCTTCCGCCCCCAAAAAAAGAAACATCAATTCTGTATTGGAGTCAAGATTAAAACAAATTCTACCTTTTCACTTTTTACAAATAAGAAGAAACATTAAGCGGTCTCAGACTCTTCTTACACCCGATGATGCCTTTGTTTAGCTGGACACATGACTATGGTGCCGTGTGGTGTTACGGCTTTACGGTCATGCTTCCATCCTCATGGGTTTTCGGTATGCAATTTGCGAATTCACTTTCGCACTGAGGTGGTTTATTACGGCCTCCAAAACGACGATTAGCGGTGCATTAGTGGCTGCAGTAAGTGAACCCCGTCGACATCTTTGGCCGGCTGCCAAACCTGAAAAGCACAGAGGAGAGCCTTTTGCTAGGGGTGATCAAATCTGCAATAAGGGCCATCAAAGGTAAAACTACTTTTAGCAGTCACCCCAATCTCGAGCTCTACGATGCCACACTCGAACTAGTCAAGGTTAAAAGGGGTATAAGTGTGTAACGCGGAGGAGTGGAGATGGAGCATTACCCATACAGGGCGTGTTTAAGCGACTCCGCTTTTTCCCTAATTTTCCTCCGAATGATGATTAATACATAAAGCGCGGTTGTTGTAGGGAGCCATATCAAGTGAATTAACAGTGCCTCCTTGTCCCCGCAAAAATTTACACTTGAATGTTTTCTTTAAACACTGCAGTTTAGGTAAAGAAAATATTTCGACATTTGTCGGAACATGCAAATCTGTGCATCCATTTTACCAGTGTCCACACTCCCTTAGCCATTCGGTTAAGCATTGATAAGTCATTCTACTGGACTACTCTGACACCGGGAAGATTCCAGGGTTCAAAAGTATTATAAACATCAAAATGTTGCCTTCGTAACCGTCTATTATGTGAACTTTAACACCTGCAGACAATTAGTGCAGCCAGTTGGGTAAACAACTGATAGGCCAGACTTACACCCATACAAAAATAGGTTTTCGAGATAAAATTATTTGGAAAAGGTGTACTTAAATGCATGCATACCTTTATTAGACCAATATACTTTATTGCTACATTGCTTTTCCTTTTGTTTTAATTAATCAGTTAGGGAGAGCGTTCGATAGAGCGGATCTTTAGGAAAGACCTTCACTATCTTGTTCACTGTAAAGTTAAGTGCCACCGGGGCGTTTTATCCTAAAGTTTCTAAGTAGAGGAGGTAATTGAAAGGCTTTTGATGCAGACGTCCATATGAGAGGCACACAGTCGGTGCGGCGCGCAAGGCTCGGCGACAGTGAGCACGGTCGCGGCGACGGAGCTGTCGATGGGCTTGGGAAAACGCAGTGGGTGAGTCACGACTGCGGATTAGGCCTTACACCACCTCAACTATCTGTCTGGACTGAGGTCACGTCTCCACCGCATGTGTGGTAGTCGATCGTGCTGTCCTTTACCGCCTCCGCGCCGAGCGATCCGCGTGTGAACGTTGCGTGTGGTGAGGTGATTACCGCCACAGCTCGCTAGAATAATCACCGTTTTCTTTTCTTCCGAAATTAGTGGTTCAATTTGTCTATTCAGCCGAACCACAGGCGTTAAAGTACTTTGGCTGGATCAAATGCGTAGAGCTGGCGGACTTGGGGAGGTGGCTAGTGTTTTTGCCCGAGCAAAAAGGGGAACACAAAGTTCCCTTTCTGCGCCAAAGTCCCAATTACCTATGGGGAGGGAATGAATTATACCCAGAGCCTGTATTAGTGGCTGGGACATATATATATGTCCAAGCTAATTACACAGGGGATTTGAATTTGTGCATTTCTCAATTAAGTTGAATGGGTAAAAGTTGACAGGCTGGGGAAATTAAAAAGCCGGGTTTTATGGGATTCGAAAATGGAAATGCTGGGAAGGTATTTACGAATGACCTAAAATGGTGGGAGTATTGTTTAGAACTATAAAATCTTACTGAATGATCTTAAATAAAACGTGACTCGAGGAGGGAAGATTTGTCACGCAATTGGAGGGAAAAATAAGGAAAATATGTACTGGGAGGTAACGTTACAAAGCTACAAGAAATCTAAACCATTGATTCCACGTCTTCGCATAAAAATGGGAAGAAAAATTAAAAACCTATTTTGAAGGGTGGATTTCTCTAATTTATTGTAGAAATTTCTTTAAATGAAGGTGTGCCTATCCTTTAATCCATCTTCCCATTCGGTACCCATCCATCCATCCAATTTCCATCCACTTAGTCAGTCATTCTTCCACTCGTGCGTCC